ATTGTTGGTCCAAAGGGACGATCAGCTTGTATGAAGCTGCAACTGGCTCAAAGGAGCAGAGGAATGCCTCAGACATCAGTTGAGAACAGTTTCAATATTTGTTCATGCTCTCATGTCATTTGCCTGTGAGTTTTGCTTGTCGCATGACTTTTTATTTTCTTGAATTGCCGGCAGTTGAAACTTGTCCACATTGAAACAAACGCGATACGCTTTTCAAACGATTGTGAAATACTTTCTTGATCTTTTTCACTGTAGCAGAGTTTCGAGCTATGAGTTTACTCTTGGATTCAGAAGCGCAATTTGCGCCGAGAGCAAAGGAGGTAGGGCTATCAGCCGCTGTGGTTCAGAATCTTAAGGATGCTGGAGTGAACCACCTGTCAGCATTGGCATTTGCAGTTGGTCAGCCAGGCCAAGCAATCTCAGTGACAGATGTCGATACATTCTTACAGAATGCAATGGGTCGTGCACCCACCTTGGCTGAGAACACAGCCATCCGTCGTCTGGCATTTGAAGCTCAGACTTTGATTACAGCGAGTTTGAGGCAGATTGTGGAAGCCCGTGATGACGGGACACCGAAGAGAATTGGGGCTGCAGAGCGTGAGACTCGCATGGCAGCAATCAGGGCTGAGCTTGGTGGCCTGTGCATCAGCGATGACAATGAGCCATCTCATTTGCTTTTGGAGAAGGCCTGCCAGATTGGTGAGACGAACACCTTGAAGTATCTGGAACCCTCCAGCTGCACCTCGCGCAGCCAGGAGGTGCAAGGGAGTTCCAAAACAAAGGAGCTCAGCTTTGAGGGCGGGTCACTAGTGATCAAAGACAAGGATGACAGGCTCATCGCTCCAACATCAAGCGAGATGCAGTTCCTATTTGCAATGAATCGGCGTGGAGTTGCTTACAAGTTTGCAAGGCTGATGACTTTTGAGCAGCACAATACATGGGCCAATTTCCTGATCCAGGCAATGCAGAGGGAACCACCACCAGGGTATGCAAAGCCTTCATTGCACCAGATCATGCTTTGCGACAAAGCGGCCTTCACACGATTGGCATCGACCTTGAGTTCAGTGAGGCAAGCGCCTGACGGGAGCTTTCCATTGGGATCAGCTTTGCTTGAGCTGAGGAATGATCCCACCATTGCATTGCACCTGGTCCCTTTGGCCAGGCAAGTTGCATCGCAGTCTTCAACTGGCACAAGAACTGGGCCCTATGGAGGTGGTGGCAAAGCGCAACCGCAAAATGTCCCTGACCGGAAAGGCCGTGGAAAGGGAAAGAAGGGGAAGACACCCCCCATGCCTGCAGAGTTACGAAACAAGTGGCACAGGACTTCAACAGGAGCCCCTCTTTGCTTTGCTTACAATACAGCAAAAGGCTGCGACCAGGCACGTGATGGAGAGCAGTGCCAAAAGGGGTGGCACCTTTGCGCAGAGCCGCGCTGCTTACAAGCGCACTCTCTGCTGAACCACCCCAAGAAGTCTTGACGGTGTCCGAAAGACTGGAGCGGGTTTGCCATCGATCAGTGTTTCATGATTGAGGTGTTCAGTGGAACAGCAACCCTGACTTCAGTCGCAAAACAGTTTGGGATGAAGAGTTCGATGGCCCTGGACAAAGTTCGGAAGAAAGGAGCCAGGGCAACAATTTATGTTTTTGACTTGCTCGATCCAAAGGACAGAGAGCTTTTGTATCACTGGATCAATTCAGGACTGTTGGTTTGGGTGCATTTGGCACCGGTATGCGGTACTTGCTCACGAGCAAGGCAGATAAAGAATGGTGGCCCGCCACCTTTGAGGTCGGAAGAATTTCCAATGGGCTTACCTGGGTTGGATGCAAACCAACAGTTGCGTGTGGACCTGGCCAATGCCATGTACGTTGAATCATGCAAGCTATTCAGTCACTGCGTGGCCCTAGGCATTTTGGTGACGTTGGAGAATCCAAGACGGAGTCTTTTTTGGCTAACAGCACCTTTTGTGCAGTTATCAGAACAACTTCAAATCCACTTCAGCGACTCACAGATGTGTATGTTGGGTGGACAACGTCCAAAATGGACGCGTTTAGCGGCGTCGTTTGAGGCCATCACTGAGATGAATGTGGAGTGCGACAAAAATCATGTTCATCTACCTTGGGGAAAGACTTTTAATGCAGAAGGGCTTGAAGTGTTTGCAACAAGTTTGGAAGCTGAGTATCCCCGCAAATTTTGCATCAGTTTGGTGCAATGTGTACTTAGGCAGCTGCAGCGACAAAACATGGCCGTCACGCCAGAAGCTCTTTTCGATATCAAAGATAATCGTGCATATGAAATGCAAACTGCCAGAGTGACAGCGCAGCAGCAGCCGCGCAGAACAAAGCTGCCCCCTCTTATTCCTGATTCATTTGCTGTAGGTGTTTTCTATGTTGCCAGTGCTGCTGATATTGCCTCTCCTCTGCAGTCAAAACTGAAAACGGAACAACGAGTTTATACAAAAACTGGAGAGGAAGTTTCTGTTCCAGCAAACGCCAGATTTTTGCGTCGCTCAGCAGCCACATCACCTTTTTCAACAACGGGGGGGGTCAAAGTCGGTGATGAATGCTTTGAAGTTGCTTTCGGTTTGCCGTGGAATTTTGAATCTTTTCTGAGGAAAGCTATTGAGCTGGCGCGTTCCAGCAGACATCCAACAAGCGCTGGATTTCCACTCTTCGCGCACGTTTGCGGAGGTCTCTGAACATAGGTTGAGTTGGTGCAAGACATGGCTCAAAAGGGCTGCACAGTTGGACAAAATTGAGAAATCGGAAGCCGCCTCAAGGCATCCTTCCACAGCTGGGAAGCGCATACGGCTGACAAGAGAGATACTTGAAAGCCTGGACTATGAGGACCTTGGGGTTCTTGACATTTTGGAAAATGGCTCACCATTGGCAGGTGAAGTCGAAGCCTCTTGCGTTTTCCAGCCTTGCTACAGGCCTTGTGTGACAACCCTTGGACAGTTGGAGGAGGATGCGTACAAAAGAAACCAGTTGGTACTTGGGATGACCAAGAGTTCTGGTTCAACAGATTTGGACAGTGCAGTTCTCAAGGAGACCATGGAGGAGATCCAAAAAGGTTGGGCAGACGGCCCTTGGCCTTTGGAGGCCTTGGAACCGGGAGCTACAATCTCCCATAGGTTCCCGCTACAGCAGGGAGACAAGGTCAGAATGATTGATGATTACAGCATTTCAGGTGTGAATGACAGCTGCACCTTGAACTCAAAGCTTGATTTGCATGTTGTTGATACGTTTGTGGCCACCATCAAGGCCTTTTTCCAAGGAATGAGTGCGGCAGGACGTGAGACATTGGTGCTTGCCAAGACGTACGACCTGAAGAGTGCCTACAGGCAAGTGCCGGTCCTGTCATCCCACCTGAAGTTTGCATACTTCTGCATCTACAACCACGAGAAGCAGGTTGTAGAAATATACAGGTCAAGGACGCTCCCTTTTGGAGCAACTCACAGTGTCTTTTCTTTCCTGAGGCTGGCCAGGATGATTCATTGCATCGCAACTAGAGGTGCGAAACTGATTACAACGAACTTCTATGACGACTTCATCTTGGCCAGCCCTCCTGCCTTGCAAGATTCAGCGAGGAACAGTATGGAGCTCATCTTCTTGCTCACAGGTTGGGAATTTGCGACAGAAGGCCATAAGGCTACTGACTTTGCAGAAGTGTGTAACGCCTTGGGAGTTTCCTTTGACTTGCGTGAAGCTGGAATTGGAGTTCTGAAGGTTCAGAACACTCAGAAGCGCATCAGCGAGCTGGTTGAGTTCATCGCGCAAGTGATGGAAAGGAAAAGGCTTGATCTCAATGAGACGCTGAAGCTCAGAGGACGCCTTGGGTTTGCAGATGGGTTTCTTCATGGACGACTGGGTGCATTGATTTTGAAAAGGCTGATAGATCATGCCTATGGATCTACAAGCTGCCTGGATGACTCAATGGTCAGCGTTTTGGGATGGATGGTCAAGCGCTTGCAAACAGCAGGCCCGAAAAAGGTTGACTCTTGCACAGTGCGTGAGTGGTGTGTCTTCACCGATGCCTCCTTCGAACCGGAAACAAAACAAGCAGGCCTTGGCGGAGTACTGGTAGACTCTGATGGCGAGTGCAAAGCATGGTTTGGGATACAGCTTGATAAAAGCACTTGCGACATGCTGGGGGCGGATGAGAAAGACACCATCATCTATGAACTTGAGCTGCTAGCGGCATGCGTTTCTCTGGAAGTATGGGCACCATTCTTGGCCTCTTCTTACCCAGTCCACTACGGAGATAACGACAGTGTCAGATATGCATTGATACGTGGTATCGGCCAAGGCGTCGTAGCTGAGAACATCATGCAGTTCCACCTGGAGACCGAGGTATCCTTCAATAGCAACATTTGGTTTGCAAGGGTTCCCACTGAAGCAAACATTGCCGATATACCATCAAGAGCCTTGGACCACTACTTCTTGACCAGCAACACAAATGTCAACAAGGATGCATTGATTAGCTTGGAGAAGTTCTTAGATAGGATAGCTTGTGCACGGCGCAGCTTTAAGAGAAGTGGGGGTAGTGAACAGCAGCGTCGTCCCCACGTTGTAAAAAGGAAGCTTTAGCTGTGCTTGACATGCTTTCGAATGCATCACGATGAAGCTTCACAAAGTGAATCGAATTGTGTTGCAGTGAAAAACCAGGTCACTGGTGTGCATGGCAAGTTCGTGTCATGCTGCAGCATGGTCCAAGGGCGGTGTGGGTGGGCTCACAAAAATTGTGAGCTATGGATCCAAAAAAGGACCCACCCTCAAGCCACCCATTTTGGGCATCACCTAACCACACCGTTGTGGTGAACAGCAGCGTCGTCCCCACGTTGTAAAAAGGAAGCTTTAGCTGTGCTTGACATGCTTTCGAATGCATCACCATCACATCCAATGTTTCAAAGCAATGCAGCACACATGTAGATTTCCAAACCATGCAACGAATGATGCAGTGGATTTGGCACGGACTAGCACGCAACAGATGTAAATAGGGAATGGCCAATGATGCTGTGTTCGGCGGAAACCGTCAACATGTTTCTTCCGACGAAGCTGTGCCCAGTCTCAAGAAGGTCGATTCTCGGGTTCATCCTGCACCCCCGACAGATGCGCCAGAAACATTGCCGAAGCCTCCACCAACCCCAGGAGATTGGGTTTGAACTGGCAACATTTGCTGGAAATCAATTGGTCAAATATTTGGTCCATTTTGATTTTGCGGTCATTTTGGCTAAACATTTTTGGTTGGGCACCACTTTTCAAACTAGATGAAATACCTTGACAGGAGATCGGGTTCAAACTTGCGGCAGTTTGAACACCTCAAACTTCGATTCTACCAACCTCTGCCTCCCCACGAAATCTGGAACCTTCCTGGCGGTTCTTTCTGCCAGCTGCTTCACCTTTTTGGGGCTCCTTGCTTTCAGCTTTGCGGAGTTTGAGGCTTCTGGGGCTGTGCTTTTGCGGTTTTTGGGATGGCAGTTGATTATCTACATCCCGACATTTTCGGTGCAACCCGTGCTCCGGAATTTCATGTTCTTCGGTTTGCAGCCCCATCAGAGCTTAGCCGACGCCTGGCCGGATGCCGCTGGCACCAAGAAGCGATGCTTGCGGAGGTTGTTGGTGCCGTGCTTGCTGCACACAGCGGCAGCAGTGGTCCTTTTTACCGTGAGTGTGGTGACGTTTGATGAGAGACATCTGGGAATTTTACCCTCTTTCGTTGTGGCCGCGATTTGTGTGATTCCACAAACTCCTTTGCTGCTACGATTGTTCGGACCACCCTGTGTCAGCAAATCATCCTATCCTTTTCGAATGTTACCTTTGGTGGCGACTTGGACCTGCACCTCATAGAGTTGTTGCTGTTCAGTAGTGTTCAACTCGTTTCAGAGGCCTGTTTTCCTTGACCCTTTCCTTGACCCTCGCCCAGGGATTTATGCCGCTCATGGGTTCTGTTGCGGTGATGTCGGTGTATATTCCACTCAGACAGCTTGGAGGCGTTTGGACTCTTGTCTCCAGAACCACGGGGAGGCATCAAGATTTGAGGTCAGGTGTGACATGGATCATCAGTGACATGAGAGAATAGTAATGGTGAGGAGATGTGTGTTGGTTGTTGAAAAACTCAAAGGCCTTAATTTGGGGGTTTCCATCAATGGGAAATCCCCAAAATAGCTGGTTTATAACGGAAAATCCTGTTAAAATGCATGAATTGGGGGCACCCCCAGTTTTTGGAAACCTCCATTTGTTCCAAGGATATAACTTTCCAGCCCGCTGTAAACGATGAAACGTGTTTTTGTTGAGCTTAGCGTAGTTGACCCACAGATGTCGCAGGTTCCCAACATCTCAAAGGTTTTGCTGGTCCCCAACGGACAACTTTCACCATTTCGGACCATTTCCTGATTACAGAAACTCTGCCAATGCACATTGGCATCACCGTTTGATCAGCTTCACCATGATCGGTGGTGTCAAGCTTGTTGTGGGCTAGTGTGGGGTTTATTGGGGATTATAACAATAGGGGATTCACATCTGCTCTGAGGATTGGCCTTTTGATGCCTCTGTCCTTCAGCTGTTACGAGTGCCTTGGCGATCCAGGCTCCCCCAAGCCGGGTTTTGCAGGGGGCACGGGGACGTAACGATGCACGCCGGGTCTAAGTCTGGCCCCAGGTTATTTGGAAGTTTCCTGGTCACCCGAAGATTTATCGAGAAGTTTTTGACGCAGATGGACGTGCGGCAGGCATATGCTTCCACCAATCAGGGTATTGTGGTGTCTCGGCACAGTCTGTTCTACTTGAAGCTACCAAATATAATATTGGATTGCAAAGAATCTTATTTATAGAAATTACAATGGATATTTGCACACATATACACTCATATATTTACACATTGTGAAAAATATGAATAAATTTTTAGATACCGTACATGTGTATGCGATAGGGTTTCCTAAAATGGGGGTACCCCAAAATGGATTGTTTATAGCGGAAAATCCTATCAAAATGGATGATTTCGGAGTACCCCCATTTTAGGAAACCTCCATATGGATACTGATATATTCACAAATACACAAAGATAGACAAATGTGTGTAGTTCAGCAGGATCAGCTTGGGTGTTCCTGGTGTCCCAGGTGTCCATTGCCATTTGCAACCTGCATGCCATGGCAGAAGGGGCCCGTTTGACACTGCTGTATGTGGACAACCAGCAGAATCATGACATGGTTGGTATCTTGGTTCCCATCGTCAGTGGAGTGCTTTGGAATGTCCTGACGCGCATAGGATGTTTGGACCGCTTTCTGCACTGTGTCTCACGTGGTCGCTGGAAACCCAACAACTGCAGCAAGCTACTGCGCGAGTCAGGTGCGGCCTAGTTGTCCAGCAGTGCTGTCTCGGTTTGGGTGAAAACAAGTGGCCATCCCGAAACAGTGCATGCTTTCACAAAAACAGTGGCATCTTTCGACCATCATTTGCGTTTGTGGGTGGCTAGCAGTGTTCCAACCTGCAACCTGTAACGAGGGGCTGAGGTCCCAAATCCCCTTCTGGGAACTGTTTGTCACGCTGCCGAGGCTTTTGCATGGGCTATCCACGCTTCGGTGCCATGTGGGCTCTTATTTTGGTTCGGCTGTGCATTGGAACGCCATTTTCTTGGGACTCACCTGAACTGCTGCTGATGGTTCTCGTGTTCCTCTCTGAAGTTGTTGAGGACGATGATGCATGGCACTTTTCCCACCTTTCCCGGGCAGTTCTGGAACCAATGGAGGGATTCGATGTAGCAACATTCTTACCTTGGCAGCCAGCAGGGTCACGGATCAGTTAGAAAATCAGCAGGGTCAACCCCGGGGGGTCATTGGGTGAAGGTTATCCCAGTGGTACACATTTTTGATTAAGAAGTCCCCTAAGCAGAGATTTAATGTGGGTAAAACAATGCCATCTGCACCATCCTCCAGTCATCACCATTTTTATAGGTTGTAGAGTATAAACCATTCCCAGTCATGGGTGGTTTATGGCATTGTTTTATCCACATTATTCGATTTTTGAAGTTCTTCTTCCCAGCAACTGAGCGCACAAAACGATTCCTCTGAATCAAAACCATGGATGGTTTCATAGGTAAACTGTCGAGGCAGCTCTGGGTCCTTTATTGTTTGTCTGTTATCATATATATATATATATATATTTGAATAGCAGAACTTCAGAAGCCATTTCTTCCTATGTCAAAACTGCTGCTATATACTGGTCATCCTACGATCAATCGATGTCTTATTTTCAGACATCTATGTAAATGTAAATGTGGTACCCTCTGGTATACTAACATAACTAATTGTGGAAAATCACCATTTTTAATGGGTAAATCCACTGTAAATGGTTATTTTCAATAGCAAACTGTTATATAGTTTACCAGAGGGTAGGTTGTCTCAAATTTGAACCCAAGTCCATCTCATGGTTGATCATCATGTTCCCTTCCGCAGAATGATTTTCGTGCATCCTAAATAATTTTGAGACAAACACAGAGCGTCAAGAACACTATAGATTCCAAACACATTCCTTATTTATTTTTGGGTATGTAAATGTTACATATATGGACTCGATGTTTCAAATTTGAGGTTGACACAAAACAATTCATTTGAACTTAAAACACCACAAAAACCTGTAATGTTGGTAAAACAACAAGAACACCATCCCCCAAATCACAATTTTTATAGGTGGTATGAAACATTCCCAGTCATAGGGGGTTTATTATTGTTTTACCTACATTAGACGTGTCTTAAATATCTACTAGATTAACCTTGGATGGGTACTTTAATCCTTTAGTCTTTTGGTATCAATGGTATTATCTACTAATCAGCTAAGAATTTAATTTTTTGAAGATGTATCTAAGCTTATCTACTAATCATTAAACCAGAACCGGGTATCTAAGATTGGCCATGTCTAGAAGAGCCTGATTTTTAGCCCAAGCCATCCGTTAAGACTTCGGAAGGACCTAATTAGCTGGGTGCTCTGGCGCTTGAAAATCAACGTGACCCCAGCGATGCAGTGGGCCACCGACCAAGAGGCACCAGTGGGGTTGATGGTGATTTTGTATTGGAAAATACTGTATAAGAAATATATGGGAAAAAACATGGGATTTTAAATGGAACTATATGGGAAATATATGGGAAATCATTGGAACTATATGGGAAATCCCCATTAACATTGGAATATCACTGAAAATCCCACATTCTATATACTTCAGGATGATTCGAAATCTTGGAGGTTTCCTGAAACGGGGAAAACCCCCAGTCGTCACCAGTCGGGTTTCAATACTAAGTCATGGTCATCCATGACGACTGGATGATGCAAGGAGAAACCCCACTTTCCCCCCGTTTTAGGAATATATGGCTATGGATCAATACCTATGAAAATAACCATTTTTAGTGGGTTATTCACATCCATTTTTTAACCCAGCTATTTTGATGTGAACAAAAAAGGGGTTTCCACTATGGGTTTTGACACACTGCCATATATGGAACATATTGGACAGATGGGGTTTCTTGTCAAAGATTTTTTCAAAGTTTTCAACTCCATTTGGGATGATGATCTCAACTGACAAAGATATATTTTTCAATGGGCTGGCCCAACCCACCAGATATGATGCGGATATAGAGCGAACCGGAAAAAAATGGGATATGATTTTTTGAGGATATTAAGAACGATATGGAGGTATCATGGGATATCTAACCAACAATGTGATAGATGGATTGTCCGACAATGGAGGATTTGCTTCAAAAGTTGCAGTTTTGATAGGAAAAATGATGTTTCAAAGTGTGGGTTTCAGGCTGATTTTTCACATAAAAACCCATGTGAACTGGGCGTTGCTGAGATCTTGGTTATGTGCAGGTGAAGACATGCACTTTCGGGGGTCATTTTCATGGTGATGTATATATGATGTATGTATACGGTTACGTAGAGTGTACACGTATATGTATACGTATACATATAGTATATGTATATGTCTATGTCTGTGTGTATGTATATTTATACGTATCCGTATATGTATGTGTATGTATATATATATAGTGTTCGAGCCAACTTAGCGAACAAGAAAGGTGCATGAGAGCCCAACATTGCAATGTAAGCATTGTGGGGTTGTATGCTGTTGGATATGCTGTGCCATAACTATTGAAAGCTGGGATCTGGAGCTAGTTCTGATGATCATTTTTCAGGCACAGATGTAACCATCAAACATACAGATATTTCAAGAATTTGGAAAGATTCACACAAGATATGGATTATAGTCCCAGAAAAGGGTCCCCAAAAGGGCAATAAGATTCAATAGGCGCAGCAGTGGAGGTTTTTCACCAGTGGATTTTTCCACTGAGGTGGAAGTGAAGGTGCAGAGGAGGCGGGCGGATGGGGCTTATAAGTGATCTCACCATGCAAGGCTGGTAGCCCTTGATACTCCCACCTGGCTAAAGCCAAAAGAGCTGATGATTCGTTTGGGGATTATTCCTTTCCAATATCTTGGGGACTATCATGATCCCACGGCTCGTAAGTGGTTGATTACTCTAGTTACGGCTTGTAATTCCCCGTTCAGTCATCCCACTGCAGTATCAATATGCTTGTTAACCAGTTACTAAGTGGAATGATTCCCCAGGTACCTCATTTTGACCCATACTGCCCAAGAATTTGATCCTTGGGTCGGTGCTCCATTTGGTGTTGCCATACCTTTGGCAAAACCTCGGTTTTGGGCGACGTGTTTTTCCCACATGGGTTGAGGCAGAGCCGCAGATTGTCGCAGGGGTCTCTGCTGCCGGTAACTCCACAGGTGACCCCACAAGTCACTTCTAGGACAAGCGACGAGGATCGCTGGAAGGTGCGAGCGGCCCATGATTTCAAATTTGGTCCCACGGACTTTGGTGAATTGCCCTTCTGGGCCCATTTTATGCCGGCGGCCACGGCACAATTCCACACCATTTTTTCGATGATCGTCGCCAGTAATGGTTTGGTCTTCTTGCTTGACTTGTGTGACCCAAGGGAGACGGGGCAGATTGGCTTAATTTGGTGGCCGATCGGCCATGATCTTTGTCATTAATGTGTGTACAGGCTTGATTGTTCCAGTCACCAAAAGGAATTTCGAGGAGAAAAGCCAGCATCTTGGACATATTTGGACATATTTGGACATGTTGAGTGACAATTGGTGACTGGCATTCTGAATTTTGTGACCCTTTTCCCAGCAATTTTCCTGCTCCGGTATGGAGCCGCCTTTGCTGGGATTCGGATTCTTCTGCAGCTTCATTTCGCATCGCTTTTCAAGCTGCCCCGAAAAAAGTTGGCATCAAGACTCTATGTGAAAACAGAGAAGGTTTGTTGTTCATGTTTCGAGGTTTGTTTTGTTATATCAGTTATATCGTGTTTTTTTTTCTCGTCTTTTTTGCTGTTCCAAGGGCCAAGGTGGTCTTGGAAGTGGTGACATGGACGTAACACAAATCTGAACAGATCTCATCGCTACTCAGGGCTCATGCGTGACACGTATTTGCTGTTCAACATCTCACATTTTTCAATGCGGGGCGTAAAGCGCATCACTGGAACCTGTAATTTTTCTGCAGCTGCAGATATACGATGTGGATTCGAGTTATTCCCTTCAGTTCTATTTATCTCGTGTCCAGGGAAAGAGTGCAGCAATGCAAAATCTCATTTTTGGACCTGCCGTGTATTGGTTCGCAGGTCACTTTTGATGTTTCTGTGAAGCTTCTGGAAGATCTTGTGAATTTTCACATGTTGGATGTTGTCGGATCATTTGGTGCACTTCTTGGCACTTTTGATATCATTTCAACTTGAGAATTTTTTTGATCAAAATTTGGACCAATCAGGACCAATCCAAGTTCAAAAATCAGAAAATTGAAAGCCTCAGATTGAGTAGACTCACATTTCTGCGGGTCAAGGGTTTGGAGCCCTAGATCAACCGAGTTGGGGATGACCCAGTTGCGATTTTTTGGTCAATACTTTCAGACCCAACTGGGGCATGTTGTAAAACATCTAGTATCCTGGGTTTGTTTAGTCGGTGATTTGGATTGTTTTCCCAATGGAACATCCACCATGACTGGGGAATCGATGAAGTGAATATTTTTGATTTTTTTTGCGACCCCTTAATTTTTTCGCAAATCCAAGGTATGATTTTGAAATTTTGGGTGAAGTTGGACCGATACTCGCCACTTGACGAAGATTCTGGTCTCCTTTTTCGCCCTTTTCCCATTGGTCATCCCAGGCCCAAGGGCCAGTTGCCGCCGATGGCAAAACCACCAGCTCCAGAGAAGCCGCGAGACGACGACATTCAGGGGGGATTCATGGGGAGCCAACTGGGGATACAATTCACCAAGCGAAAAAAACAACATCCCAAATGGCGGCTTTATTGTTGGCTTTGCAACATCTGAGCACATATATATATATATAAAATATCTATATGTGTATATATGTATATATATATATAGAGATAATATTTTGTATGTCCCAAGCGCTTCAAAAAATATGTCTCCCATGGCAGAGCCCCAGGCCCTCGGTCTCTTCTGGTGGCTCCTCCTTGAGGCGCTTGCCGAAAATGAGGGGTGTTCAATGAGGGTCAAAGCATGTGAAAAACCCAAAGATGCCATAATCTTAATATATATGTATATATATATATACACATCCAAACATGTAATTTTTTGAAGACCCAGATGTTGATTGCTTGATACGTGTATTTTGTTGACAGATCCCTTGTTTCCAGCCTGGATTGAGCCGAAAATCGCGAGGATTTCTTGGACAATCCCGGAAGTAGAGCCTGAGGTGCGGAGCTGGAGTCGGCCATGGCGTGAAAACTCAACGCTGGCACTTCGTATTTGGTTATCCAGGCAAGAGCCCCCTGTAAGAGCTATGGCTTTGCTCAACAAAAACAGGGTGGCCTTCTAAAATGCTGTGCTTCGAAGCATCATTTTGACTACCCGCCAGTGCTATTTTGGGGTATAAGTGGTATACCCCATTTGTGGACAAAGCCATAAACTCCCATAGCCCTTGGACCGAAACATGGAAACCCTAGGAGACGAGGGATTGAAGCACAGGATAGCACCAAGAATTTGGAAATAGTAAACCTCAGATATAGCAAATAGCAAACCCCCAAAAAGACAAAATGGGAACAGGAAAATTATGGAGAGATCATCTACAGCATTCTGAACAAAAACATCTGCCCCTGGTACACTGGAAGCACAACCCTGGGGACACACTGGTTAAACCACTTATTAAGCGGACACGGGTTCGCTAGGTCCCAATGAAATGGACAGTTCCATACTAAAAATGACCAGCCAGGTGGTCCATTGGTAAAAGCAGAGGTATCAACCATGGGGAGAGATTGGACAGCTAGCAGCAAGCGTCATTGATTCCATTGACGTCGGCAGTTTTGGAGCGCAAGTTGGGGTTAGCCGCTCTAGCCGTTCCGAAAAAACTTGGTGTCCATTCGTGACTGTCAAATCCAAATAAGATTTTTTTCATGGTCAAATCACGGTTTTTTTCATGGTTTTCCATCAACTCCTGTTTTCATCAACGTTTTCGATGCTGATTTGGTGACAGCAGGTTACAGCCTCCACCCTGAAGCTGCGGATACGGGGCAGCAACAGGCAGGGCTTCCGCTAGGACCTGGTGAAGACTAAATGCTTTCCGTTGGAAAAAAAAACAAGGCGAATGAAAACTCAAAATGGGGATGGGTCAAAACCCTGGTACCTAGTGAACCCCAAAATAGCTGGTAAATGGATGTTCATCCCACTAAAATGTATCTATAGGTATTGACCCATACCCAAATGACCCAAAGGAGACATTCATACTGCAGAAATGAAAAGTAATCACATATAGCGACTATGTATATTGAATTATATGAAAGGCATTGAAAGGCCAGAGACAACATTCCTCAAAAACCAACGCCAACAACTCACTCGCATGTTGGAAACAGCACACTTCCTGTTCCCGGAATGGGTTGAAGGGAACACTTACAAAGTTTTCCCCAGATTTTTGGGGCAAAACCAGGGTAGATCAGCAATGGACCGATCCACATATATCTCCTTCCAAATATCAAGTATGGATTCTAAATATCTGATAATATCTGATAATACAGGGGTTGGTAACTGTCCCATTTTGGGAATATTGGACATCACCTGAAAAAGTAGCCATGGCATTGACCATATACCGATTATGGTTGGGTGATGTTCAATGGGGACATTTAATGACCCATGTAATATCTGATAATATCTATACATCTTCCCTGAAATTTGGATGTGGGTCAAAATGGAAGACCGATGTGGGACCACAGATGTTAGTCTGGTTTAGTATTAACCATCCATAATTTTGGGGTACCTAATTTTGACCCATACCCATATGATGGTTGATAATCATTTGAGGTATGGATCAAAATTCGACATCACCATTGGATGGTACAAACAATGAACTGAATCTGCGGTTATTTAAGTTGATCTTCAGAGGTTTCAACTAGCGCAACCGCGGCCGAGGCTTCATAACTATGACCATGGCACCGGACGGTTGGTTCCCAAAGGCGGCTCCACGGTCGGGACTTCCCAGGACCGGAAACTTGGGGAAATTGCTCAAGCTGGATGGAGAGTATGTATAGTATGTATACACATATATAATGTTATATATATATATATTATGATATATATATATTTATGTATGTATGTATATGGATGTATATATATATAGATAGATAGATAGATAGATATCGATTAATTGTGGAATGGGAATGATCAATCCATTTTCATAGGGCTTCAAAAACACCTCGGGTTTTTTCAGACATGGCGTGCTGGAAAAGTGGATTTCCCACTGCCATGGATTACTGGAGGGTTTTTGGAAATCGAATGGCAACAAACATGGGATGAATCATGGGTTTCTCGAACGGGCTGGTGCACATTGGCTGGGGTGAATTTCAGGAAGCTGTGATTGGTTTCATGGTGGATCCATGCTGTAGATTAGGCTATAACATATTAACAATCCATCACCTGATTTAAGCAACAAACATGGGGATATCAGCCAGTAATATGTGTTTCTTTCCTTAAATATAGTCTATAGGGATGATATTGGGGATTAAACCAGTATAGAAAAGGGATTTAGGCAATGGAAAGTGGATATAGGTTTGCCCAAGAATGGGGAATGCTAACGCCAGAACGGAGGGGTGTGAGGGAGTGATTTCTGTTTCAAACAACTTTAGACATACCAATGTTTACCGTTTTTTTAGAGCCAACAGAAAAAAACACCTCAGCAAAGGCTGTCATATGCTATCATAAATGCCTGGTATCCACAGACATTTGTGACAGAATTCATCTTTTCCTGTGAGGCTTGCAAGTGCAAAAGCACACGATATGAAAAAAACCACTGCTGCACCACATGCCATAACAATGGGTGGATGTTGCATCTTGGAAAAGACAAAAAACAGTATCAATAGATGGCTTATGCATGTTGTCAAAAGACAAAGGCTCAAAAATTACGTTTCGCCTAGGTTTCAGAGCCCTCAAGCATAAAACATCGTTATCTACAGTGTTTTGTGATGTTTTTCTCAAAAAAATGACTCCACGGTCCCCTGCTTTCATAGAATTTCGGGTACTTGGTGTCAAATCGGGCATGAAGACCCGTCAGATTCCACATTTGGGTGAATTCTGACGGCTGAGTTTCATCCATATCCAAAAATGGTTGGAATTGTGGGGAACGCAACAAACTGACTCAATGTATCATGACATGCTATGATAAAAGGTAGGCATATTCTTATTTTTGTCCGTGCTGCTTCCCCACATAAGTGTTGCTTTTATCTTGTTTTTTTCACCATTTTTTGGCGAAATCTCCAGTTTTTTGGCGAAATTCTCATGGCGACGGGATCCTCATATGCTTTGTCAAGAGTATCGTCCCCAAGAGTTTCCAGTGTTTTATGGCACTTTTGTGAGCATCCCCCGAAAGTCTGCGCAAACCCAGTAGATACCCCAAATGGAGAAAAACACACACACATACACACACATATATATATATATACGTATATACATACACATCAAAATATTTGATATTATACCTTTT